ATGGGGGAGAAAGAGAATCTGTAGTCTCTTACACCAGTTCAAGGATGGGGTCATAATGGCCCGCACTGGGGTGCTTGCTGGCTGAGGGGATGTAAGGTTGGGGAAGAGGGGAGAGGCATTTAACAAACCGGGCGAAACTGGAGGAGGAGGAGGAAGAGGGAAGGAAACAAATACAAAGTTATTAGTGATGTCTCAATGTGCTTTACCTATATTACCTTATATATTTCATCCTCAACACAGGGGGAGTGGGCGAGGGGGATGGGCACAGGAACTATTGTCACTAATTTACAAATAGAAAAGTGGGAATTAAGGAGGTTAAGTGATTTACCAAGAATTTCAATCCTAGGCTGCCTCCAATTAAATCATGAGTTATCACTGATATGGCTCTTCCAGTCTACGTGGGGAACCCCGTACATATAGAAACAGGGTTTTTAGTTCCCCAGTGCTTAGCACAATGTAGGCCCAAGCCAGCACTCAAAAAGTGTTAACCTGTAGGGTTAATCCAAGTGATACCAAATGAGGACCAGGGCGCATATACACCTAACAGGAGGTGAAGGTGGGTCCATGGTGGCTGCCGGGCAACCACTCTCACCATGAGGTTCATTTCTGACCTTGCTGAGGGCCTTTGGGAACAAAACCCAGTGACAGACAGAACATGGGACTGCAAAGCTCCTACCCTCACTGACCTTATAGACCAACAGAAGAGGGAAATCAGGTTATAAGAAGAGAGGTCCAAATAAAAGTTTCATGGTAAGGAGTGGTGATTATCTGTGGGGCTCCGGCTTCCTGGAAAAGGTGGTACTTGGATTCCATGTTGCACTTGAGGGGTGGGCACCTCAGTCACTTCTTTTTCCCCTTGAGGCTGCCCTTGAAAGTCATTTGAAAATTATGGGGCACTGGAGGTGAGAGGAGGTGGGGGAAAAGGGAAGGGGCCCTCACACAGCCTGGTCTAAATCTTTGTGGGGTTAATCCTGCTTCCATTTCCAAATAACTAGGGAAGACACTAAGTACACCAGCTGTGATGTCAAGGAAACTGTTCTCAAACTCAGCTCCACCACTAAACAGCCATGGGAACTTTGGCAAGTTAATTAAACTCTGAGCTCCCGTTCCTCATCTGTAAAACAGGTGATGATTCCTTTCAGGACTGTGCTGGGTTTCAGGATTAGGAGGAAGACAAATAACACTAATAAGTGACCTCTTAAATCAGGGACCCTGGACTAAGCACTTAACCTGCTTCATTACATATAAAGTGCAAAACCCTCCCAGGTAGTTATTATTTCTATCTCCATTTCACAGAAGAGGAACTTGAGCCTTGGATATTAAGATAACTTGCCCAAGGTCACCCAGCCATAGCCCCTTGGCCACTCTGTGTTGTAGAAAATGTTGCAAGCTGTAACGTGAGCGTGGCCAGAAAGATGGCAGTTATTGGGTACACTCAGTGCTGGATTCTTGCAGGGAACCCAGGGCATTGGCTGGAAAATGCAGGGCTGCAAATGCAATTCAATGAATTCTGAGACCAATGAGCCAGAGCTCCCACCTGAGCCTGGATAGATTCTTGGACAGCAGCAGGATTCTTGGACAAAGTTAGTGCCCCTAACAGTCCAGTGTGGCAGAACAGCACTTCACACCTGTCTTATTTAGATTCCTATTTTTAAATGAAATCAGAGGTAAACGAAAAGACTGCTGGGGAAC